ACTTCAGAGCTTGATGGATATTCTAACTCTTTAAAGCTTTAGATAACACTCAACAAACATGGGCTTCTATAAGCAACTGACGGAGTGAAGCATATTAATGCCTACAAAGCAGGTGAAGTCTATAAGAAGATATTCAAGCTTTTCCAAGTTGAAATTTCCCCCGTCGTGGTCATTTATTCATGTCCTTAAGAAAAGTCAGTTAAGGTGAACTGTGGAAGATGAAGAAAACCTTTAGCTTTAAAAGGGATGGAAAAAATCCCGTATTATTGCAAAGGAACAGTGGCAGTCCATTCCTCTGTGCAGTTTTACTTACCTGCAACCTCATCACAAAAGTCAATGTCTGAAGTCTGCAAAGCAACATCTGGATAAGCCAGAGTTTCTTTGGAAACGTGTGCTGTGGTCATCGGAAAAGCTGTGTTTGTTGTGTTCTACAACAGGACAATGATCTAAAGCAGACCTCACAACACATCAGCCACTATTTCAAGAAACACAAGCTGAAGCTTTTGGAACGACCCTCACATCTAGTGAATATCTGCAATTAGACCCTGTTTGAGCAGAATGGCCTCGAATATCTGATTAAGTAAATTCCTAAATCGACAGTAGAATGACTCAGCTGGCTACAGGGGTGCAAGTTCAAAAAATCTAAAGAAACATTGCATCAAAAGTTTGAAGAAAACTTTGTTTTGAGGTCCATTTGCTTTTGTATTTACTTTTCTTACTATCCAAAAATCAACAAAATATTGAATTTTCCAATTTATTTTTTCATTCAACTGTATGTTGACGTGTGATAAGAGAAACAGCACATGCATGATTAATAATCAGCAACACTAACATCTACATTCCATTTACTGTAGTAAGCCAGTTCCAGCAGGCCCTGGAACTGTGTTCACTGACTCACTGTAATGGGACACTGAGTATTTCATGCTTTTAGTTCAGCCTATGCTTACACAGTCAGTGCAGTGGAGAACAATGTTGCCTGATGAGGTAAACTTTTCTTTTTATATTGTAA